TCAGTCACACACATAAGCTGACATATTATAAGTAGTATCATCACAAGTGTCTATTACATCACGAGTAATAAGACATAGTCTTCACATAAATGTAGCAGAAGTATAAAGAAAAGTCTCTCGCGGAAGCTCCATATCATAGGGACGTGAACTGGTTGACCACAAGTCTAGTAATCCTTAGGAAAGTCATCATTACCATAGCCATCTGTTACCCATCCGGGATTTTTATCCAAATAATGAAAATAAACAAGCGTAAGTACATGTCGTACTCAACAAGTATAACATGGGGTTCATGAGGCTCAAAAGGCTTGACACGGGTTTAACAGCATTTGGCTTTTAATTGTCAGAATTTTAGCATAAGAGTAGCAACAAGTTGTTTCAATTCCAAAGTAAAACACATGATCAATGTAAACATGAATAATGAATAGCACAAACAGATAATTCTTAGTGATCATCTATTCCATAAATGTTCTAAGACCACTCATGACCGTGAGCACGGCTAATATACCAATTTTATACTCTGCAGAGGTTGTACACTTTCACTGTGAGTCGTGATTTACCCTTTCGCCCGAGGTCGCGAGCCTCTTAACCCACTACCAAGGAAGGTCGGCAGGGTTCACTATGAAGCCTTTCAAAGGTTCGTCTAACAAGTTAGGGCCGTTAGATTCACTCGCCAAATAGATGTAGAGCACCCCTTCCCGATGGCACATTGACGAGCAGCCTATACTCATGGGGACAGAGGCCGCACTATACCCGATTCGGCAAGCCATTCTTACACCAATAAAGGTAACCACTAATAAGCTAGAAAAGGTCCTCATGCTGAGTTAAAGCCAGTGCCATGTTGCTCTCATAGTTGTACTGTAAGTCCCGGATGATCACTTATAAATAAGTCCTTAGGGAGAGAAATCTAGAGCACCATAAAAACAGCCCCAATGCTCTAGCTCCTGGTTCCATGTTGCTAAATAGTCATATTTTAATGTTTATTGCATATACCATTAGTCAAGTTACAAGATCATGGTTTAATTGAGCACTAGCAAAGCTACCTAATGCAAATCCCATAGGAGACAATGTATAAGTTCAATTCTAAGGAATCCTTATCAAGGTGACACATGCAACATGAATTATATGTATTAAAGTTGATAGGAAACAAGGATGATCCCATGCTATACTTGCCTTGAACAAACTGCTCCTACTGATCCTGCTCGTTAAAGTAATACTTGTGGTCTCCCACAAATTGCTCACCATCTATACTCGATAATCACAGCAACAGACAAGCATCCAAAAGCAATCATGCATAGCAAACAAAAGCTATAGATTAGAACAGTACACCAATCAGCATAAAATCAAGATGAAAAGTTTATAAAATAAATCTACGTCTCACTACGAACACATAGATACGAAGATAACAAAAATCGGAGCTAAAACGAAGAAGTTATGGATTAGACAAGATTTCCTTTAGTAAAATAATAGATTAAATCTAACCTTGAATTTTAAAAGTTGAAAACATACTTAACAGTAGTATGAACATGTAGATTATGGAATTACGAACCTAACGCAAGTTGAACGGATCAAATCAGAGTAAAAACAGAAATTTTATGGCCTATAGAAGGTAGTGACAATTCTGTAAATAAGTGGTACTTGATTTTTGAAATAAAATAAATCAAATTCTGATTTTAAAATGACAGAGGGACTGCGGGCACTATTAAAAGAAAAGGCAGGGGTCCTTTTGAATGAAACCAGGGACGGCGGGTTGAGATCTGAATAGTTGTAAGGATATCTTCTAATCTAGGCCCTTGATCTCAGATTGGATGGCTCAAAACAGATCTGGACGGGATGGGGAACGCCAGCGAGGTCGACGGCGATCTCCACAGTGGTGCCATGGCCGGAGCAGGCGGCGCTAGCGATTCATGGCCTACGGTCCACCGTTTAACGAACCAAAAGCACGAGAAGAAAGAGAGGACGACAGCAGACTCATCGAAACCGAAAACAAGGGCGGGGAACCGACGATGGCACGCGGCGGCTGCTCGAACCCGACGACGGCGGTGGAACCTAGGGTTGCGGTGGCTGCGAGCTCTGGGCGAGGAAGAAAGCTTGCTCTAGGGTGGAATAGGGAGGCGGCGCGGGCTCGGGCTACTATTTATGGGTGCAGTTGCCTTGGGGTTCACGCCAGGCGCGGCGTAGCGGAGGTGGAGTCGAATCGGCGACGGCAACAGTGAAGACTCCGACGCGGACACTGGAGGAAGACGGCGCTGACATGTGGGCCCAGGCTGTCAGCGAGAGAAAAGGCGCGGACCGCAAAGTCAGCGAGAGAAAAAGGGAAAGGAGGGCGCGGCACGGCGTGCAACTGGGCCGCGTGCTGGGCCAAGCGAAGCTGAGCCATGGGGAAGAGGAGAACAGGCCACGCGGGCGAAGCGGCGCGCGGACGGAGCTGGGCCGCGGGACTGGAACGGACCCCAGGGCGCAGGAGGGAGGCCGAGCTGGGCTGAATATAGAGAAGAGAGAAATAAAATCCTTTACTATTTTCTAAACTAATTTCCAAACAAATTTTGAATGCAAACTCAAATCAATTTGAGATCTGACTTCAAACCACACAATACAAAAATAATATGTAGCAGCATGAATGCATAAACATGTAGGTAAGCCTATATTTGATTTTATTTTTAACAAAATTATTATTTTCCTAAATTTAAATGCTCACAGAAATACATAATTAATTCATTTTCTCCTATTTTAAAATCATGCAAATTTTAGGGTGTTACAATTGCCTATCCTGGTATTTAGTGTTTTAAAAGTTCAGTTACGTGCATTTTAGAACTTCATCTGTTTTGAACCCATTTTTAGAACATCATCTGTTTTGGACCCATGATATTATTACAAGTTGATTGTTCCAGTTTTCAGGACCGGAAAAAGCTTCTTTTCTTGTTATTTTTGCAAATATGTGGAAATTTCACGTTTCAACGCGTGGCATGTTGTTAATGATTCATTTTGTACATTCGAATCTAATGAGATCTGGCGACAAACCTGCACGCTAAATAATTAATTTATCCGTCAACAAAAGTAATGAGCACACCTCCAGGATGGATTGGATGACTCACGCAAAACAAGAAGTAGTACCAGTGCTTGACGTACACGTACAGCCAGCTAAGGGTTAGCCTAGCTAGGTAAATGACTTGTAAAGCCGGCCGGGTCAGTGTCACCGCTTAACGTTACTTAGGCCTTGTTTAGTTGGCGAAATTTTTTGGGAAATAATATTGTAGCATATTCGTTGTTATTTGACAATTAGTGTCCAATCATAGTCTAATTAGGCTTAAAAGATTCGTCTCGTGAATTTCGTCTAAACTGTGTAATTAGTTTTATTTTTTATTTATATTTAATGTTTCATACATGCGTTCAAAGATTCGATGTGACGGAGAATCATAAAATTTTTTACAAAATTTTAGAAACTAAACAGGCACTTATCTCAACAAGCATGTTTGTAGTCACTGTCCCGGATGCGATGTTTCACCACAAAATTACTAAATATGCCGCTGGCCCACAAATCAAAAAAGGATACTCTACCATGCCGGGATGATTGGATATCCTTCTATATAAAATTTAAAATATCACATCTGCTGAATAATAATATTCTTAAATGCGAATAAATCCTGGCCTCCTCCGCGCTCCGGCCACCGTACAAAACACTGTTCTACACTGCTAACCGATTTACAATTATTGTTTAAGCAGTGTAGAAGAGTGTTTTTGTACGGTGATCGGAGCACGGAGGAGGCCTGGATTTATTCACATTTGAGAATATTACTATTTATCAGACGTGTCATTTTAAATTTTGTATAGAAGGATATCGTATCATCCGGCAAGGTAAAGTATCCTTTTTTGATTTGTGGGCCAGCGGCATATTTAGTAATTTTGTGGTGAAACATCGTATCCGGGACAGTGACTACAAACATGCTTGTTGAGATAAGTAACGGTGAGTCATCCACTCCATCCTGGAGGTGTGCTCGTTACTTTTGTTGTCGGATAAATTAATTAATTAGCGTGCAGGTTTGTCGCCATCATTAACAACATGCCACGCGTTGAAACGTTAAATTTCCACATATTTGCAAAAATAACAAGGAAAGAAGCTTTTCCCGTCCTGAAAACTGGAACAATCAACTTGTAATAATATCATGGGTCCAAAATAGATGATGTTCTAAAAATGGGTTCAAAACAGATGAAGTTCTAAAATGCACGTAACTGAACTTTTAAAACACTAAATAGTAACAAAACGATTTCTAGTGGGGCACCTGGTCTATATATAGCACTGGTGGTCAGAATTTGCTGCCGCTAGTGCACCGAAAACAGATTTTCAAAGGTGGGCGACACAACATTACTGTCACTAGAAATACCCCTGTTCCCAGTAGCGATCAGCATAAGCAACCACAGGTAAAAATGGGCCTTTCCGTTGGGGCCCCTTAAGACTAGGGCCATTGGAAATACAGACATTTGCACTAGTGATTGCTTTCTAACGGCTGCTTGCCACACTCGGCTTCGAAAACAGAACCAGATGTATATTATATGTTTGTATGGATCAATTTCCACACAAACATTGACGTCACAAATGAATACAAGCAGCCGCTCGATATCTGCATATTTAACATACAATACAAGCTAGTGTATATTGCATAAACACGCGTAGAGTACACGGTAACAAGGAGCTCTTAATACATGTGCCGGTGCACCGGCTGGGCCTTTCCACGCTGCGCATACGTCTTGCCTACGTACCGGGCCTGTACATCCATCTTGCCGGTACCGCCCGCCGGCGCCACGCTGGAGACGAAGGGGCCGGGGGCTGCGCGTGGACTCATGCATCTTCCTAACCGTACGTTATACACACACGCACCTTGGGACGCCAGGCCGGCAGCCATGGCACGGCTGCTGCAGCGTCGTCGATCGGGCAGCGGCAGATCGAGCTGCCCTAGCACTTACGAGGACTACAAAGAGAAATCGGTCCTGGCAGGCCCCTCTGCTCAGGTGGTGGTGGCTCCCCAGCTGATAGGGCAGTGCCGAACGGAACGGAGCAGCTGGTTGGTGGCTGTGAAACTTGCAGGGTTGGTAAGCAAGGCACGCAGTTCCGCGACCTCTCCTTGGAGCCTTCGGTTCTCCTGTGTTAGCGCCGCGCAGCCACGTTTCAGGTTCTCGCAGTCCTCCTTGGTTTGCTGCTGCTTTGTCCTGAGATATTATTGATTTCACGCTATAATATATAAAACAAGTCGACGACAATGACACTATATATATATATATATATCACCCTAGCTACCAAGATATGCATCATCAATGAGAAAAAGGGTCTATGACATGCACTACGTACCGAGCTCTTCTATTTTGAAACCAGATCGCCACTTGCCGTGGTCCAAGGTTGAGCCGGCTCGCTAAATCACTATTCTGTCTCTGTAGTATTCCAAAACAAAACAAAATTAATTTAGTTCAATGAGACATGCATATTCTAACTTCTTACTTATTTTGTCTGCAAATAAGAAGAAAAATAAATAAAATCCTTGTCAATGATAGGCAGGCTTACATTCTACAATGACTTTCTGATATAAGCTGTATATACTCATAATTTCTTTTGGTAGTTGAGTTGTTTTCATTTTTTTAAACAAAAAAATGCACTTAAGTCTTAACACATCAGGACTCTTTTCCAAAAATACGACAGGACATGTAATTTCTTTTTTGACAGACATGTATGGGGGCCATATAGTAATCAGAACACCTACTGGCGTCAGGGTGCTGTGCTCCTTGAAGCTGTCCTCCAGGAACCCATACTGCTCCTTGCTCAGCCTCAGCTTTTTCTTGGTTCTACCACCAAACCCACCGTTGTCTTTAGCTGCCTGGCGCACAGGAACTTCCACCAGCAAGTATGAGTTCACACTCCCTGTACAGACAAGGACTGATCACCGTACGTCCAAGAAGAACAAGAACTTGGGCTCTTAGGGCTTCGCCAGTGGGAAAGTAAAAGTGACTCATCGTCCGACGTGGCTTGCAGATGAACCGACTCAAGCACGGGAGAGAACGACTCATGGAGGAGAGAGAAGAACCGATGCAAGGTTAGGAGTCAACTCGTGGTGAATAAGAAAAACAAATTTCTCTCACCTATCTGACCGACTCCTATGTGCGCCGGCCGGAAGAAAGCAGAGAAGATTACATAAAGAATCTATGTGCAATTTTCTATTATACTACATGGGACCCATGATGCTTTTTTTCAAGGAACCGATTCCTCTTTGCTGCTCACATGGCGCTCTCTCTCCTGTGTTGGTGGCTCGTATGTGCTTAAGCCACAATCTATCATAGAGGTACCTAGCTAACCTCGCCGATTCAGACATGTAAAATTCTTTCGTACCTGTTTCTGCAGAGGCAGTTGGTAGAGGGCAGCCTTTGTAAAGATCTTCTTCCTGCATGTCTTCTGGTTGCATGGATGTCTTCAGCAGATTGTTTAGTTCGTCTCCTTTGGCTGTCCGTAGTCCTAGTTCTAGCACAAGCTCATGGCCTTCTGCATCGCCTGCGCGTGTACATGTCAGCATATGCTTGACAGTGCCCTTTGCTAGAGCCGGAGAAACCCCTAGACTAAGCTCAAGTTCCATGACGGAGAATAGGGGGCTGGAAATGAATCGAAGAGAAAGCAATAAGCAAGCACCATATTTATAGTACTGATGGGCCAATGGCAAGTCTTTACCAAAGAAAAGCCCTCGTTCAGGAGAGGCAACCAGACGACCTAGCAAGGACTAGGACGAAGTATGAATGATTGTCCGCCTCTGCCTCCTTCAGGAGAGGCAAAGGGCGTGCAACTGGACCGGCCCATGACGGCCGAAGAAGTCCACGAAGTCGACGATCCAACAGGGGGTGTCAGCCTATCTGACACCGATTCTGACGATGCAGAAGCTGTCGAGTGGATGAGCACACCACCAGGATGGAGTGGATGACTCACGCAAAACAAGAAGTACCAGTGCTTGACGTACACGTACAGCTAGCTAAGGGGTTAGCCTAGGTAGGTAAATGATTTGTAAAGCCGGCCGGGTCAGTGTCAACAGCTGGACTCTTTCCAGAAAATACCAGCACCGTTGCCTAACAATAATTATATATGAAGACGATAAATCTCTCCAGGTTCCCCTCTCTTTCAATTGAATTCTCGCTCCAGGACATTCTTGGGATCATCCATCTGGAGGAAAAAAAAATCGGCACCTGATAGGTAAATTCCAATCCTTTGATGTTAGTACATCCCTGCTGTAAAGTAACTACCGCTGTATCGCTGGAGCCTCTGATGTTACATCGATATCCCTGCTGTAAAATAGCTACCGCTGCATCGCTGGAGCTTTCGTCCACCTATCGCTCTCGCCCTTTGCATCTAGCTAGCTAGGATGCGTTCTGAGTAAGAAATGACACAACTAAGAGGAAATGGAGATACTGCAGTGCTAAAGCTATATAGCTGGAAATATAAAATATGTCATCATACACTGGCTTATTCACCAACGCTGCCAAGCGCACAAACATATACACCAACGCTGTAGAGTAAGGGGAGGTAGGCGAACCAAGCAGCCGGAAGCACTCCCGCAGTCCGAGCGTGGGGTTGCCGAGTGGCCCTCCGTTCGCTGGTCTGAATCTTGACTGAAACTGGCTGAAAAACACTGTTCTGGCTGAATTGTTGTGAGAGAAAAACACTGTTCCGGCTTAAGGGGTGGATAAATTTATTGAAGCCGCAGAGAAGCATGCAACGACGTTGACAGAGGATAATGATACAATTATTTATCCCTCTAAAGATTGTAAGAACCGTATGGCATGGACAGATGTGACTATCATCATATCACATTTGATTATGCGAGGATTTATTGAGGACTACACAGTGTGGATTCATCATGGCGAAACGGTTATTGTTAACAATGAGGATGAGGAGGAATACGACAACGAAACCCTAGAATCCCTGTCCCAATATTCAGCAGAGGTTGATGCATGAATGGATCCCTAGTTTGGCAATGAATAAGGTGGTGATGCTGGTGGTTGGGACGGTAACGACGAAGGTGTTGCCAATAATGATGGCGGAGCACGTGTCGGGGATGAAGATGATTTGGAGGACATGTTTCGAGCCATTGGACCAGAGATTTTACTAAAGAGCCCGAAAAGTCTAGAAAATTTTGAAAGGGTGAAAAAAGCATCAAAGGAGGCTGTGTATGGTGTTGAAAAGGGTTGTCCGACACACTGGACATTGCTACGTTTTGTGCTTGAGCTACTCATCCTGAAGGCTAAGTACGGCTGGTCAAACTGTAGTTTCAATGATCTATTGCGTCTCCTATCATGGGTGCTGCCACAACCAAACTCAGTTCCCACCAACACATACCAAGCGAAGATGGTCATAAGTCCATTGACAATGGGGGTTGAAAAAATCCATGCATGGCCCAACCTCTATATCCTTTTTTATGGCAAAACATTCAAGTCACTGGATAAATGTCCCTGGTGTGGGGCCAACCGGTACAAGAACAATGACCTTTACGGTGTGGACGAAGCGTCCACGGGGAAAAAGAAGAATAAGAAGGGTATAAAAAAGGCGGTACAAGAATCTCAGCCCCCAGAGGACAGTCCATTAGGCAACGATGCAAAGTATAGAAGAATTCCTAATTTGGTAATGTGGTACCTGCTAGTGACCGACCGCTTGAGACGTATCTTCCTAAACCCTAAAGAAGCCGCACTCATGACATGGTGGGATGATGAGCGCAAGGTGGATGATGATAAGATTGCACACCCGGCTGATTGTAGTCAGTGGCAAAGGATCGATGAGAAGCACAAAGAATTCAGCGATGACCCAAGAAATGTACGATTTTGTTTGAACACCGATGGAATGAATCCCTTCAATGAGAGGATGAGCGACCACAGCACTTGGCCAGTGATCTTGACCATGTACAACATCCCAACATGGTTGTGTTAAAAGAGAAAGCACCTTCTCCTCACTATTCTTATTTCTGGCCCTAAACAACTAGGCATTGATATAGAGGTGTTCCTCGAGCCTTTGATGCAAGAAATGGAGAGGCTATGGAGGCATGGGGAACCGATGTATGATGCGTTCCGAAAGGAGGACTTTATATGTAGAGCAATAATATTTGTTACTACCAATGATTACCCCGTGTTGTTTGCTTTGTCTGGACAGATCAAAGGGAAGGCGGGATGCTTAGTTTGCTTGGATGGTACTACATGGGTGTTCCTGGATGCATCTAAGAAGATAGTTTACCTAAGCAACCGGCGCTTCTTAAAGATAAGTCACAAATACCGCAGCAAATTGTTCTTTAGATTTTATGACAACACCCCAAAGATTGAACCCCCTCCGGAGAGACGTCATAACGGAGAACACGTGTACAGAATGGTGAAAAACATACGCGTCGTCTATGGAAAGAAGAATCCGGATGGGATGAACAGAGATAGAAGCACACCTCATGTCGAAGGCATACCTTTCAAGAAATAATCAATCTTCTTTTAGTATCTACCTTATTGGCCAGACTTGGAGGTCCCCCATGCCATTGATGCTATGCACGTGCAGAAGAATGTCTTTGAGAGTCTCATTGCTACCTTGATGGACACAGGCAAGTCAAAGGATGGTCTGAAATCACGGAAAGACATGGTGCAGCTAAACGTGATGCCACAGCTTCACCCGATACCTGAGGCTAATGGAAAATACACTCTGCCCGCGGTGTGCTTCAACCTAACACCAGAAGAGAAGAGAGATATATGCACTTTCCTGAGGGGGGGTCAAAATCCTGACTGGGTTTTCAGCGAATGTGAAGAAGCTAGTGTCGATGAAGGACTTGTCAATAAAACACTACAAGGCTCACGATTGTCATGTGATGCTGACAGTATTTCTACCTATTACAATCAGAGCTATAAAGCCAGAGTTCTTGAAAATGGCCATCACCCGCATGTGCTACTTCTTTTCAAAGATCTCATAGAAGACGATTGGTAAGAAAGAGCTGAGTGACCTACATGAATTTGTGGTGGAGATACAAAACTAACTAGATATGTGTTTATCTCCTGCTTTTTTGATATAATGCCACATCTCATGATTCACATGGTTCATCAGATATAGGCGCTGGGCCCTTGCTACTTGCATAAAATGTGGTCCTACGAGTGGTTCATGTCGGTTCTAAGCCAATACGTTCATAATCGAGCATACCCAGAGGGCTCTATGATAGAGGGTTACAGTACTGAAGAAGTCATCGAGTGCTGTCAAGAGTACCTAAAAATACAGAAAGGGATTGGTAAACCCGATTCTCATCATAAGGGTAGGCTGACTGGGAAGGGCACCAGTGGTAGAAAAGTGTTCATCGACCATGATTACAAAGACGTGATTCGAACGCATTACAGTGTCTTGTAGAGTACACAACTGATGCAACCGTACATTAATGAACACTTGGCTATCATTATGGCAGAGAGAAATAGTCTTTCAGATGATTGGGTCATGAAACAACACAAGCAACGACTAACTACATGGTTGAAGGACCAAAACATACCACCTGAAGAAATCATAGACTCTATTACCATCAGTAGGTTGGCGGAGGGGCCATTGAGACAAGTGACATCTTGGAAAGCTTATGACATCAATGGGTACACGTATATGTGAACCAAAATAGCGGCGTTCGAATAGAAGCTCTCGTTGGAGTGGGGCGAAAGATCTAATACTTTGGCATCATTGAAGAGATATAGGAACTTGACTATGGATGGGATATAACAATGGCCCTGTTTTGATGCCATTGGATCAAACAACACTAACTGAATGAGATCGGATTGAGAGTCTTGGACCTCAAGAATCTAGGCTACCGAGATGACCCTTGGGTGCTCGCTTCACGTGTCGCACAAGTTTTCTATATCCTGACCCACAAGTAACCTCCCCCCGAAGAAAAAGAAGACAAAGCACGTGGTTGCCTCCGGGAAACAGCACATTATCGGAATTGATGGCGTGAAAAAGAACCTGCCCAAAGACATATTGCCATGGGAACGAAAAGGTGTCAAGGGAAAAGTCGTTACAGCGGGCTAGCTAGTTGTTGAACGTAGAGTGTTTGTGTAATTGTGTGTGTTTGTAAGACTTCATTTATGCATGTGTGTGAGATTATATATTTATGTATGTGTGTGAGACTATATATTTATGTATCTGTGTGAGACTACATTTATGCATGTGTGTGAGACTACCCTTTACAACATCTAGATGAACCTATTGCAACATCCACTCTATTACTACTAAAACAGCTATAACACGCAGACACTTGAAACAGACACTTATTACTGCTGCAACATGTTCGGACTACTATTAAAACACTTAAAACAAGCACTTAACACTTTATTAAATCAAGAAATGACCAAAATAAAAGTCAGAGATTTTGACGAGTTATACAACTTTTATATTCATCACCTTTACAGCTGAAATCATTTAGTGGTTGAAAATCAGGTTTGAAGTTGTCATTTTCTGAAATTCAAGATTTGAATTGTCCAAAATTAGTGACAAAGATAGATAACCAGACTAAAATGATAGAGCATGATTTTAGAAAATTTTAGGAAAAAACCATCACATTTGGAGTTAGTATAAGGGAGAAAAACTAGGTACAAATTT